TAAGCACAAACACTCTTTCAGACACAATGGGTCTACACTTCCGTGAAAAACTGATCACACGTTACCTTACAAGATAGTGCAGGCGAGCAGAAATGTTAGAAGCTTTGTCGGCTATGTTCTTGGACAAATGCAGAAAAGTGACCTGCCGGAACGATTTCACGACTATCTCGCCTTAAAAAATCCCTGCTCCGTACCCCTTGCGCACTATTCCCACGTTTCAGCACGATTCCATGCACAAATCTAAAGACGCTTCCACGTTTCCTCGCGATAACATGTGAAACGACTACGCGGGGATGAAACCCTCCATAACTCCGTTCAGAGAATCGTTCCGCAAATTCTGAAGGTAGATTTGAGTTCACTGTCCCAAGACGCGTACAACGGTGTGCAGCTCATTGGAAATGGCCGGGCTGACCTGTTGACCTTTCCTGGTCTGCAGCATATGGCACAAACGCGGTTATGGCAGTTTTTCATCGATTTCCGCCCTTTTCGCTCGGTTCTGGTTCTGATCTAAAGACAGTGTGAAATTGGAAGGCTTATAAGTGGATGTACCTTATAATGATGACTGTTTCTGCAGGATATCCCTCCGCCATCTACGAATTCCCTTGGTTTGCCTCTCATCAAACAAGCCAGAGCTGGTGAGATTTTCCACGTTCTCGAGGAAAATGACAAGAAGCAGGAGCTCACTGACAAGGAGCAACTTGTGGAGTGAGTTTTTTTTTCCACTTTGTTCAATTATTGAGGAGTTTTCATCACATCAGTGTATGAGCTCTTTCATTAAGAAGGGATATGTCTCTGCTGTCCGTATTACACGATTACAATAAGGCCAATTACCAGCTCAATCCTGTATTTGTAAGTCAGGTACGTTGTTTACATGAGACTGATTGAAAGTACATTTCACGATTACAGATCGTAACTAGTCGGGCATGAATTTGAATTGGTGTTTGGGAATTAGGTATCTAGGACTAGAAAATGAAGGAGCCGTCGAAGGCGCCCAGATAATGCCTCTTTAAATTTTCCGCAGTAGATGCGAATATAGCTGTCCAGCGAGCGGGAAATCCACAGAGTTGCACACATAACAAAAGTGGGGAAATCAGTTGTGACGCTACGCACTTGAACTTTGTACAGGCTGGATTTTTGGCAATCGTAATTTTGCACCCTCGCCACTCCTTCTTGATTGACGAAAGTATCCGTAGTCATGGAGCTGTTAGTCTGCTCTCCTTGTACGTAGAAAGGGGTCAACCTCTGACTTAATCACGGAAGGTAATCGTGGAATGTGTCCTTAGATGAATTAGTCTCCACTTGGGGATGTGGTCATCAAGCGCCACGAGCGCAAAATCGCAGGTACAGTCTTGTTCGCTGCGGATGAAGGGGCGTGTCAGGTGGGATGCGCTTGACGCGACGCCAAACACGTTCTGCACGAGTTGTTGAAGGAGGCAAGCGACAACAGTCGAAGACTGATGCGAACATTCTAGTCGCTTGCTCGCTTGAATAACTGGTGGAAAAGCGGTCTTGGTGCCGCGCCCAAACTAATTTCGCCGGATACGCTCTCATCTGCAGCGCACTGACCGATTTACATATCAGCAAAGATTTCGCTGCCCAGACAGGAGACGTGGATACGAGTACCAGGGTGGAAGATACCCGAGATGTTCCTTGATAGCGTGCAAGCCTGAGCTCTCGCCCTACACCTTCTGCTACACAAAATGATGAAGTCATCTCCAGTAGCCTTGACTGGAGAGACCTTTTGGAATTCATGTCGCCCAAGCAGCTGCGAAACATCTAGTATAGATCACCCATGGATAGGCACCTGGAGACCAGTACTCTCGATCTGGATGACCTCCAACATCGAGCAGCTCCGACACGTCGCCACGGTCTAGGACATCATCTTCACCACAGTCGCCAAGGCGCGGGTTGATGGTATGGACCGGACGTACCTGGAATGGAAAGACCAATATTTTCTTCGTGGACCCCGGACTGAAGGTGAGCGCTGGCGGTTACATTGAGCAACTCGTGAAGAATATCCTCTCCACATGTCGTCGCCCGTACCTTCTTGGAAACTTTGTACTGCTACAGCATTGGGTGCCACCACATGGAATCGAAGGGCATTGGAGAAACTCTCGCCTACTTGGAATGGAAGGGGGCTGAGTACCTAAAGAAGATGGAATATCCAAGTAGGTCACTTGACTGGAATCCCCTCAGTTACCCGGTTTCGGGCGGAGCTCAACAGGTGGTCTACGGTGGCGGAGAAATCGACTATCTCGCTGATCTCAGGCACCACATCGCGGTCGCGTGCCAGAATCTCTCGATGGCGCTCGTCCAGAAGGCTGTGGCGGAGTGTCATGATAGTATTTAATATGCTCTTGATAAGGGTTGGTAAAAATGTCCGATCAGAATTTAACAAAGTGTAACTTATACCGCCTCGAAAGTCAACAAAGAAAAGTGACTTTTTCGGTCCCCTGTATATGCAGTTTAGCGTATTCTCCCAACCCCTCTGCTGAAGGTGTGTCAGCATCAATACGATTGAATTTTTAACGGTACGTATCGGGATGTGGTTGAAACCAACTGGAGCAATGCCCAAAATATACACCTGGTGGACCTCTGCGAGCGTGTGCTCGATTGCGAAGGTACAGCAGTTGCAGTTCAATACTGACTAAAGTCGATCTCCTTTCAATCGCGCTAATTTCACCATTTTCATCATTATTTATGTTCATGTTTAGGAAGATTATAATGCCTACTACGGTGGGATTAGCAATGGTCTCTTGTGGCCGGCACTTCACAATCTTGCGGAATACATCGTGAAGGAGTATGATGATCCTGCTGTGAGTTTTCAGTAATATTTGTACCTGAAATTCTCGTCGTTTTAAGAAGTTAGACCCGCGATATGTGCTCCGGATGCGGTCATTTCTCTAGCTAGTCAGGACATGTCGCGCTGTCTCGATGAGATGGTGTAGACGAGCAAACACGTCGTGGACTTGCATCGCCAGAGAGTGGCTCTCTCGAGGCACATAGCGCCGCAACCTTATTTAATTCGGATTTTGAGTAAGAACTTTCAAGGTTCTCCGTGAACATTGGTGTGCTTATGTACGTGTGAACTACCAGTTCGGTATTAATGCAGCGCGTAACAGCCGTCCTCAAGATTTCATTTGGATCCATGATTACCATCTCATGTTAACTGGTCAGATTATGCGCAGTTTAGATAGCAACCTTGAGGTGAGTTCAGGTTCTGTTTAGTTTTCACCTAAACATATCAATTCTTCATAACCACATTCCGATCAGGTTGGCTTCTTCCTTCATATTCCGTTTCAACCGCCGGCAAACTTCATGACAAAGTATAAGATTGTCGCTGATCCTATATTAAGAGGTATCCTGCGCTTCACAAAGGTAAGCAAGCTTTGTTCATGTAACTGTTTCTTCATGGGCACGCAGTCCGCAGCGATGCATTTGCCCCGAGTCTCTAACTTGGAACGAAAAAGGCAATATCGACGCTTTTCACTCTGGGAGGCCTGCAGTTTTGCGTCGGTGCCTAGTAGCCGGTGCAGTAGTCTCCAATTCTGAAAAAAGCGTACCTTGTAGGGGTAAGCACTTCAAATGATGCAATTTTTTTTTACAACATGGTGATGTCTTCACAAACCGTCCCAGGGCTAATGCCGTTTGAATTCCAGCAACTTTCGGTACGAGCTCATTTTTAAATTGCGCTGAGCCCACAAATCGCAAAAAACCTGTAATTTAAGGAGTAGTTTAACATCCTGATTACGAATGTGACATTCACTCTTGCCGCTGGCGCTGATGGATGACACTACGATTATCTGCATTCCGCTAAGGCTGAGCCCAAGAGGTAATCGTAGTGTCATCCCTTGGCGCCAGCGCCAAGAATGAGTGTCATAATTGTAATCACGATGGTAAATAACCCTTGTGTACATGTTTTCAGCGGGTTTGGTGACTTAGGCAATTTAAAAATGAGCTCGGTGCCGAAATTGCTGGAGTCCAAACATTTCACACATAACATTGGTAGCCTGCAATTTCCGAGTGGGACTGGGACGGGCATTAGCCCCGTCCCAGTCCCACTCAGAAATTGGCTTACCATAGCTGTAGCGCAATTTACGGACAGGTCCTTCCTGGGGCATAGGCATACGCCACGGGATGCGTTTGGCGCCGTGCCAAACCTATTCCAGTTGAAAGGACTCCATCCGCAGCGAACAAGCGTCACAATGTTATTTTGAATGATGCTGATTAATTATAGCGTAGTTTATTCAAGGTTGGATTCAAACTATCGAGATCGTGAGCGCTATGTCCAGATGGTAAGAGAGTATATCCCTCGAGCGAGAGTGCATTTCGACAACAGAATTGACATATTCACTGTTACTTATGAGGTGATCTTTTATGTTCCAGCTGATTACTTTCAAGTTCTGAAGCAATTTGCAGTACCTTTCTTACAGGGTTGGACGTGCTCATTGGGAGTGTTCCCTGTGTCGATCAAAAATGAAGATTTTCTCTCGATTGCCAACGAACCTCAATGTGCCATTGATGCTCAGGAAATCAAGAAGGATGTACGTGTTTTTCATTCCACTTTTTTTCTCAAAACAGTTTAGAGTATCGCAAGTTACCATGTTCGGTTTTTTAGTACGCATTAGGTTTCTATGGAACTAACAAAGCAACTAGTCCGGCATTCGGAACCATTCCTAATCCGTGATGTGGTGGTTCAACACCTACTCTCAGCTCACTGCACAAAACAAAAATTAGCAATTTCTATAGTGTTCAGGAAGACACAATCCTGAAAAATTTTCACTTCAGTCCCTCTCCTATCCTGGGTTCGTTTGGGCGATACCTCTGAAATTAACATCGTGAATGGTGCACGTCACGCATATTTTGGTCATGGTCCCCCACTACCGCTAGCCAGGAGGGTCTCCTTAGTGCTGCTCGCATTAAGAGAGCATTTTGCACGTTCACTAGTTCTTTTTGCGAAATCATTCGATTGACATTTCACTTCGGTGAGACCTGTCACCCCTGTGAAGCTGCGAGATGGTGTAATACTTGCAAATTCCACCACTTGGTTACAGGAATTTAGAGGTCTGGAAGATGGCCTGCGCTAGTTCTGCTGAGTTTAATTCGGTGCCATCACGAAGCCGTTCCGTTTTCTGCGTTGGATTTTTGAACTGTTCTGGCAGAGCGCATCCAAACATGCGGAAAATTGGTCGTTCAGACCGCTTTCCATCGTCGTTTCCAGTACGACCTTTCTCACCCTTCTCTGCCCAAAAAGTTCCACCTCACCTACCCTATTTTCAGTTTTCCACTAAAAGTCAGCGGCATCAGACTGGAGGTAGGGGTCAAGATGAGAGAATGTAGAAAATCGCTCCTGAAATTCCCACTTTCCAGAACCATCTCTCTGCAAAAAATTTCTCAACTCATGTACAGTCGTCATCCTTCGACCTGATTAGGGCGGTCGGAGGACCGCAGACGCGAGTGCCCCAGCGACCGCGTCACAAGTAGCAATCTGTCGGCGGCGCGGGGCCAGCTACCCTGCGTCCTCTCACTCCCTGCGCGCTCGACACGCGCCGCATAGTACTCTGCCGCCTGCCCATTGACGGGCAAAAATCAGGCTTGATTATATCGGCTCGACGCAACGCGATTATTCTCCAAAAAGTTCGTCTTAGTTCAGGCCGGCGTTTCGCAGTGGTAAGGTAAGTTCTTTTTTCTTTACTTGATAAATTTTATTAGTGTCTTGCTTTTTTTGTTGGTTTGGTGTAATTTTTGTTGTTTTAAATGCTTTTTTCGCTATTGTTTTTGCATTTTCAGGTTTCGTCTGTTTTTTCCCCATTTCTTCCCCCTATTTGGCTTCTTTTTCATTACTGTGTCACTGATGTGTTCCTGTCTTTGCTGAGAACACTCTCTGACACGGTTTTGAAGACTAGAGCCGCTTTTACACCCGTGTTCTCCTCAAGCTGCCACGTAAAATTGTGGGCGGCTGGTGTTGCTATTTTAATTTATTTTTCGTTTATTCTTTTTTGTATGATGTTTCTTCCATTAATATACGCATTAGTTGTGTTCTTGTGCTACCGAAGAACACTCTGGCATATGGTTTTGGAGCTTATGTTTTTTAAAAATGAGCTTTTTTCATGAGTTGTGCTAGTGCCCGTTATTTAAGGCGGTCGGTGAGTGTTTCGCTCACGGAGCGCAATATTGGTATACAAATCAGAAGTGAGTCGCCACACGTTGTGCCTCGGTAGCATAGTGGGTAGTGTTCCAGAATATAGTATACGAGGTCAAAGGTTCGAATCCTTGGTGGACGTGCTCTTTTGCATTTTTCCAGCAGTGCTCTCTGGAAGGCTTTTCTTAAACCATTCTCGCCTTCAAAATGCAAAAGAGCACGTCCACCAAGGATTCGAACCTTTGACCTCGTATACTATATTCTGTAACACTACCCACTATGCTACCGAGGCACAACGTGTGGCGACTCACTCTGATTGTATACCATCTATTGCGCTCCGTAAGCGAAACACTCACCGACCGCCTTAAATAACGGGCACTAGCACAACTCATGAAAAAAGCTCATTTTAAAAAACATAAGCTCCAAAACCATGCCAAAGTGTGTTCTTCGCGTAGCACAGAACACAACAATGGTATAGTAATGAAGAATACATCATACAAAAAAGAATAAACAAAAAATAAATTAAAATACTCACCAGCCGGCATTTTTACGGGCAGCTTGAAGAACACGGGTGTAAAAGCGGCTCTAGTCTTCAAAACCGTGTCAGAGAGTGTTCTCAGCAAAGACAGGAACACATCAGTGACACAGTAATGAAAAAGAAGCCAAATAGGGGGAAGAAATGGGGAAAAAACAGACGAAACCTGAAAATGCAAAAACAATAGCGAAAAAAGCATTTAAAACAACAAAAATTACACCAAACCAACAAAAAAAGCAAGACACTAATACAATTTATCAAGTAAAGAAAAAAAAGTAACTTACCTTCTCGAAAGCCGGCCGAAATAAGACGATTTTTGGAGAAAAATCGGCTTCGTCGAGTCGATAATCAGCTGATTGTGCGGGGGGGGGGGGGGGGGGGGGGGGGGGGGGGGGGGCGGGGGGGGGGGGGGGCGCCAGCCGTCAATGGGCAGGCGGCAGAGTACTATGCGGCGCGTGTCGAGCGCGCAGGGAGTGAGAGGACGCAGGGTAGCTGGCCCCGCGCCGCCGACAGATTGCTACTTGTGACGCGGTCGCTGGGGCACTCGCGTCTGCGGTCCTCCGACCGCCCTAATCAGGTAAGCGATCACACCGTTGTATAGCGATGATCTGCATTGCATTCCAGATCATGTCCTACCAGCTCTTCCCGGGTTTATGATGAGAGAAACGGCCCATCACACACACGCAGGCACGCACGTCGGACTCGTGCTAAATTTCTAGGTGACAAGTGTATATGAAGTGGCATGTAGATTCTTTTGTGAAAACCAGTGTAGTACTCACGGCGCCTTTTAATGAATTGAATCATAAGGATCATACAACTAGTAGTTTCTGTCATACAACTTGTAGTTTCCATGTGTCGAGTATAAGTAGTTCTATTTATCAGGTGTTGGCCAACAGCGGAGAAGGCGGTTGCTTCTTCTTCTCGGTTGAAAGATTCGATTACACAAAGGGTATAATGGAAAAGCTTAGAGCGTGGAGGAGGTATTTTTCTTGTTCTTTTTTGATTAATGCTTTAATATTCCCAACAAGTCGATTTCAAGGTATTTCGAGAAACATCCCGAAAGGAAAGGTCTAGATGTGCTCTATCAAATAGCTGTCACCAATAGGCGTGCTGTGGAATCGTACAAAAGATACCAGGTAGGTGATCGTGGATTACTGTTGTAACATTTAAATAGTTGTCACATTGGTTCACGTTCTGTGCCCAACCGCTCTTTATCGTAGGACAGTTGCCTCGAGTTGGCGAAAGAAATCAACGAGAGTATTCGAAGTGAATCACACCCGGACTGGAGACCACTGCGATTTGACACTGATGGCCTGCCTCGTGCCCGTCTTATCGCTCATTATCTTGCCATGGACATCGGTGTTGTGACCCCATCCAAAGTAATATATTCGTCTCTTTCATGTTTGTAAGTTTTTCTATAACTAAGAAATTTAGGATGGTATGAACCTTGTGGCAAAGGAAATGATGGTATGTAACCCATCAGCTTCGCTTGTGCTTTCATCAGGAGCTGGAACTGAGGTAGGCTATCTGTAGAGGTCCTGAGATCGCGTTCGTACAGTCTTGTTAGCTGCTGGGGCGTGTCAGGGAGCTGTCGCTTTCTCCACCAGTTGTAGAAGTGAGCAAGCGACGACGATTGGTGGAAAACGGGCTGGCGCCGAGCCAAACTCAGCCTCCCTGGTACGCCCCAGCATCCGCAGCGGACACGGCTGTATGCTGTGACAGTACGGAAGAATGTGCCTGGAAGGCTTGGAAGGGAATCGATTGACTTCGCCCAGAATAATCGGCCGCTAGAAGTTTCAGGAAAAGCGCAACCCTCTAAAACTCCCCTTTGGCGCGCGTTCTCCTAGCTTGCATCCTGCTAGAAAGTCGAATCGCCGGTTCTCTCATTCTACTGCAGCCTTACGCTACCATTCTTCTACCAGGAAAGGTCAACAGGTCAGCCTGGCCATTTGCAATGAGATGCACATCGTTGTACCCGTCTTGAGACGGTGAACTCAAAACTATCTTCAAAATTTGCGGAACGATTCTCTGAGCGGAGTTATGAGGTTTTTCTTTACTGTTTTTCTTCTTACGGGCGCGCTGGCACCGAAGCGTTGGCACCGGTAGCGCGACTCACAGCGCTCTTCGCGCAAAACAGGTATCATATTCGTGTTCAGGGGGTCAAATAACCCCTAGGGACGTCACCTTAGCAAAATCTGAGCTTCTGACTCAACTTCGAAAAAATGGGGTATGGATAGTCATGGCTGACTGATAGCCAACAGCGATACTATGACTAGCATACTGGTGATGACTGGTCTTCGAACTGAAATAACTCTTCAGTCATGTCTTTTCGCAAACAACAGTACCTGGCTTACTTATTGTGCCGTCTGCATCATTTTCTTGACTATCGGGAGGAAATCCCATTCCGAGACCAGTCATCGATGGTAGGTGAGCTCCAATCTGCTGCTAATTACCCATGGAATAGCCCACATTTTCCAAGTGAGGTCGAAATATCAGATTCGGCTAGAAACTTGTCCCCAGGGGTAATTTAACCCGCTGAACATGAATATGATGGTATTTCATTGCAAAAACCCTTGTGACACGTGTTACGAGGGGTACAAGCAGAAGCACTCTTTCAGGCCACAATGGGTTTCGAAAAAAACTGATTGCAGGTTCCCTTATAAGGTAGTGCAGGCGAGCAGAGATGTCAGAAGCTTTGTCGGCTATGTTCCTGGACAAATGCAAAAAAGCCGTCTGCCCCAGAACCGATCCTACGACGTCTCGCCTAAGAAACCCGCTCCCTACCCGTTGCGCTCTACTACCACGTTTCAGCATGACTCCATACATAAATGTAAAGACGCTTCCACGTTTCCTCGCGATAGCATGTGAAACGACCACGCGGGGATAAAACCCTCCATAACTCCGCTTCAGAAT